ACTGAATTAAAAGATGAAAATTTCTTTTTTTTGTGAACAATTTTTTATTATTGGATAAATAAAATGATCCCAAGAAAACTTACGGTGGAAGTGCCAAATAAATAAATACTGTGCCAAAATGAATTTTTCTCGCACTTGGGGACTTCCGAAATGATCGCATACGCAAATCTGACTGAACTGAATAATTTGTCTAAATTTTTCTTATTTCACATACCGTATAATATGAACGTCAGATGAATTTCCTCAAACCTTGAGACTTAGGAAAAGAAGAGAGACGCTTGAAACCTTAAGATGTCCCTATCTTTAAAAGCAATCGATATAGAATTTCCATCACAGCGCAATTCGCCGACATATTCAAAATTATTTTCTCCTTTCCATGCATGATTTCACTTCACAATTGAAATCTTCAACTATAAATTTTATGACCAGCCATTAAAAGAAATATAAAAGCAATACACTCGTCCCATCGAAGAAGCTTGAACAAGAACAGCAGCGTATGAAATAGTGCATAAAATACGTCATTGACTTTTGAATATTTTGCATTATTATTTTTGGAGGTTTTGAATGCTTTGTTCCAGAATTTTCTAATGCTCAAAATCCTCAACTTTCACGCAACAGATCAAGCAAAAAAAAATATTTTTCAGAATCAAGGCTAAGATTTTGAAAGACTTGAAGAAAAACCCAGTCCCAGTATTTCACCCACATTTTGTAGAAAACTAAATAAACAGAAAGCCGAACCCCAAAGCAAACATGGTTCTACACTTTGAAGGTGAAAAGTCAATCACGAACAACCTCATGGAAAAAAAAAAAAACGCCCAATATACGAAAGCAGATACTCGATATCCTGCTTCCAGTTTTCTCAAAAGCTCCCACGCCCAAAAATACACCTCATTAAATCGACAAATTTACCCAGAAAAATATTTCTCGGAAAAAAACCCCAGTCATCAAGTTCAAGAGTAAACAAGAAAGCCGCAGAACCGAGTCTCACGTTTCAAACCTACACAGATTCATTCTACCAAGAAAGAGCTGGTGCACAAAATAATAGCGAATTACAAAAAAAAGCACGTTAAATATTAACACGTATTATTTGGTGCACTTGCAGTTTCATGACTTGCTATTCTGTTGTGCAGACGATCCGAATTACGCAATAATAAAAAATCAAGTCATCACTTTTGAACCCAGCTGCGAACATCATAAACCACCACCATTCCCCAAAAAGTACCAAAGAACTAAATCCAGCAGAAACACTCGAGAAAATAATTCGCGAAAATCAAGTGAAATGAAAAAGTGAGAACAAGTTTTTTCGAGTTGCAAGAGTTTTCAAAGACAAAGAAATGGTTCCTTCCTCGTGGAAGCTGCCCAGTATTTTTTACATACATTTGTCAACCCACATTCGAACTATAAAAAATTATAGCTAAGTTTTTAGCATAGGTTAGGTTGTGTAAGATTAAACAAAAATTCAGAAAATCTAGCATGAGGCACATTTTTCGCTGCAGTGACTTTCAGAGAAGTACTGTACCTAAACCTTTTTTGCTGTATGAAATTTTTATTTTTTTTTTACTAGAAAACATGATTTACTAAGTTAAATACTGTACACAAACAAGTTTCATTCAAACTACAGCGTTATCTAAACTTTACAGTTTCTGTCTGGACTTAACTGATAAAAAAGAGGTTGGAACTGAAGCTCCATTTCAGCTATAATGCTTTTCATTAAACTGGAGTTGAACCACTTACACATTTAAAATAGCTAATTTGACAAATTCATGGCACTTCAGTAAAAAAATTATCCAATTTTCAAACGTGTCTAAGTGGTGTGAAACCTGCAGCATAAATACATAAGTTTGCGCATCACCAGAGCACCTTCTCTTCTTATGTCCAGAATTTCATACTGATAGAAGCAAGCTTAAGATAGATTTAAAAGCACAGGAATTCAATGAAGAGACCCTTTCTGAAATCTTAAAGGATCAAGATAAACTGTTGGCTTTATATGATTTCTCGTCAAAGATTCTCTGTGATTTGTTCATTCAACTTAACCTCATACAGAAACAAGCTGAAGACCTTGTGCTTTAAATTAATTTTTACATATATTTTATTACCAATGTCAGGGAATGAATGGGTGTATGCATACATGTCAGATGACAAGTTGTACTTCATGTTGTATTGTATTTTCTTTTATTTTTGTTAGCAATTTGTGCTTTCCTGCTCTGAAGTGATTAAAATGTCTTTGAGTGGATTTGGGTTGGGTGGGAAGGGGGGTTTGGTTGTGGAAATCTTG